CATCCATCCAAATCTGTTCCCGTCAGTCCACATAATCTCTATATTAGAAAAAAAAAAAAAGACAGTGCTACCCGATTTATTTCAATAAATTAATTTATTAAATTAGACTCGAAAGATTAAAAGAAAATGAAAGCTTGATACAGAGTGCTTTTATTTGGAAATGCAAGTAAGATCTATATTGAGAATGGTAGATCTTGAGGATTGAATGAGACAGTGGGAACAAAGAGGACTTTATGTGTGTTGGATGCATTAGTTGTCCAAAAATATATCGTCCCCATGAAAATGAAAGAGAAAGCGAAAGGGATAGACTCAAATCAAAGTGCCGACGTTTGTAGGTGTACATACATATAAGACCTCACAGCATGATGCTTAAGCCCACAAATGAATCAAGCCGACGTGCCACTCGTTTGGACCATAATCTCATTATATAGCACGTTCAAATGATTGTGATATATAATTAATCCTAAACACCTTTTAGACCATCAAATTTAATTATCTGCATAAAATATCGAGTCTGATCCAATTTCCCAACAATAAATATTTTACTTAATCATAATAAAATCGATCGACGTGATGATAATAAAATTAAATCGAAATATTTCTCATATCAATTGTCAAGTTATGTACCGAAGAAACATCAAGGAAGAATTCCAACTTGCAACCTTGTAGACCCAAAGGAATATGGGATCATGTGGCTTTTGTTGAAGCACAAAGCATGTCGGGCGATGCTGTTTCCAAGTTGCTCGTGCCCTTTCCATTCCACAGATGGTTCGACAGCTCGTAGCCCAATTGATGGCCACCTACACGCATCACGTATTGCTTCGTCAAAAGGCCGATGGTGAGACCCCCCGATTGAAGTTGTGTCTCAGGCTGGAAGAACATTATCTGAAGGGAGTAACATGTGCAATTTCATGAGGCTTAGCAAAACCGATATGATGTATGAATCAATGATAGGGAAAATCTTTTTCACTATATGTATAAATAGCTGCTCACTTTAATAAAATTGATTTTATTTTCTTTGTCACATCAATCGCATCATTCATCATGGTATTAGAGTTTCTTTTACTTGAGAAAGATTTTCTCTTCCTTTTTCTTATTGTCCAGTAACAATAATTACTCTAATTTTCTTGATGACAACAAGTCTTACCTTGGAATTAAGTAGGTAGACCCACACCGACATTGGAATCCTACCCTCTTGCAGCACCTTGTGTATTAGCTCTGCCCCTCTATCGCTATTTTCTTCTCTTCTTCTTTCATTCTGGGAGAGCTTTAACAAACTTCCCCTACCCCCTCCTCTGTCGATCTATAGTAGACATACTTCAAACCATTGATGTCGCTCATCTCCGACAGTGGCGGATGATCCTCCACTAACTCTCCTCCCTATGACTCATCGGAACTGATTGCTAAGTCCTTTCTCTCTGCTCGATGGTCATAATCCCTATTTCTGCCACCAATCGCTACTCCCTCACCAACCGAAGCCCGGCCTCCTCTTTCAGCTAAAGCCTTCTGCTAAAGGTATCTTCTACTTCTTCCTCCATCGTAGCCTCCTCCAGGTCTCCTTTAAGTTGGCTCTGTGATTTCACTCTCTGCCTTCTCAATTGAGGGCCCCTCTCCCTCGAGCTCCACCACCCTTTCGATCACGTAACTCGGCCAAACATTGTGATCTGCATCGATCGCAATCGTCATGGCCTGAACTGCACCAAGCAACCACCCCTCCTCTTGTGATTGTTCCCCAGAACCTGTAGGGAGGTGGAACTTCTCGTGATACCCTTCGACTTGAAGGATAGACATCGACGGTCGCTACCAAATATACTGTCAAAGTTTACCATACTAAATATTTCTAGTCACAGGTGCCCTGTAAGCCAATCACATGAGTGATGGCACGTGTGACATGATATACACTCTTTTTTTTATTATATTATTTAATATTTTATCACTTTATATTACTTATTGCATGATAATATATATATTGTGATATACATGGATTTGTGCAATGGGAATCAGATTATGATGAGATCACGATAATGAGACTGATTCACCTATAAACACAAACCATAAATAATCCCGGTAATAGGTTACTCGAGAGAGATATCGAGATAACCGGATGGACTAGTGTACTATATACTCGTCCATATGATAGAGGCAGCTAGTCTCATAGCTGCTCATGTGAGGACACTAGGGATACAGTGTAGATGCTCATTGGAGAATGAGTTTACTTATTGATCCGCTCACGGAATGTTGGATGGTTAATGATGCTTTATTATTAGACAATGATTTCAGAGTCCTGGTGATATATTTAATCCTTAGACTTAAGACACTAAGGATGTCCTTTATGAGTACTCTATTCTTTGAAACTAGACTTATAGGTCTGGAAGTTCCAGATCTAGCACAACTAGTTATCGGGAGTAGTAGCCAATCTTACGAGGGATATTTAGTATCAATAGAGGATCATTCGCTCTTGATGTTATGAGAGGAATATCCTATATGTTCTCACTCAAACAAATCCCTAGCCAGAGTTATTCGGATTAAGAGAGAAAGAGTTCTCCGGAAGAACCTGATTAGAGTAAGACTCGAGTAGAAACCGTATAGGCCTAACAATACCATGCCCAATATACGGTATCTGAGTTATTAGATGGATGAACGACTATAGATACATAGTAATTAAGGATAGACAGGTCCAATGGATTAGATTTCCTTATATAATTTGATGATTGTGGCGTAGTGGCTTAGTATGTCTGTTGTCGATAAGTCAAGTGAATTATTATGGAGATAATAATTCATTGAGCTAGAAAGAGTTTTGATAGGTATGACTCACAACCAGCTCGATATTGGGCCTAGAGGGTCACAAATATATGATATATATTACGACGAGTAGAGGTTCAGATATGAGATCTCCGTTGGAGTCCCTATCTTATTGGATATTCAATAAGCCCATGAATTATTGGATCATATAGATGAGATCCAATAAGAGCCAACGAGAGATTATTGGGTAGAGACTCACTAATCTAACTAGCATGAGTACTTAGATGGAGATCTAGTACCCAATATGGGAGGATCTATTAGGGTAAGTTGATGGGGGACCTCTATAAATAGGAGGGAACTAAAGGGCCATGGGTTAGGTTCTCTTTGGCTGCCTACTTCTATTCTCCTCTCTCCCTCTCTTCCTCATATTATAGACCCTATTTGGGATGTGTGGATAACAAGAAGGGGCAACCCCTTCTTGATTGCATGATGCACGCAAGGAAGAGATTTGGGCAGCAATTTGAGAAGCATCTTTGTAGCCCCTACCGTGTGGATCACCGCTAGAGAGAAGGATAGTTGATCTCCTTCATCCTCTCTCATAAATTTATAAGTTTTTAGGGATATATGATCTTCTTAGGTAACACATCTTTCTTATATGCATAGTTTTTCAGTTTTGAGGATTTTTACGTAGTAATCTTTGCACAACGATGAAACCTTATTTTTCTGTAAGAATTCTAAGATTTTGTTTTCTGTTATTCTACTACATATGTGATGTTACCCTAGATTTTTCAATAGTGGTATTAAGCCAAGTTGCTCTTACAAAAGACTAGCTTTAAACTACGTGTGTTGTATTCAATCACGTTGAAATTGTTTTACGTGATTGCTGTGATTTTTTATTGTAATTTTCAAATATGTGCTATACCTTTTCTTACTGTTAAGAGGTGATTTAGAGAGGGCTTTTGAAGTTAATTTTGTAGACATAAAAAGGGAAGAAAGGGCAGCAATTGTTGCTGCCCCTGGCTGAAGGTTGCTTGCAACCTTAGCTGAGAGCTCCAATTTGTAGCTCTGAGTATGGCCAAAAAAAATGACACCTATATATATATATATATACATAAATAATCCACCAACATCGATGTAAAAATTTTCTCATGAACTGATGTGTACTGAATCAATGAAACAGTATTAAGATTTGCATCGAGTCCTATCGGAACAGAGTAAAACCATTTCGTATACAGTATGGGCCGGATTGCTAAGATAAGTACGTCTCGGGCCCATTCCATCGTGCTCTTTCTTTCAATCTTTCGAAACTATCGTTCTTTTCTGCCGATGACTCCATCAAGTGACTATTACCAATTTCGTATACAGTATGGGCCGGATTGCTAAAATAGGGTTCTCTCATGATTTGACTCGACCCTATGCTCCTAGCGTTGGCCTTCCCCTTACGAGAGAGGAGCGTCGGGAGCACTATTCCATTGACGACACACTTGAAGATTCGTACTGCCAAATTGGTTCTCGGAGTATAGCAGGATTCAAATATACGAATCAGATCAGATTATCTTCTAGCAACCATCAAAAGCAAATGCTAAAACGTGCAAGTGATCACCGCGTCCTCACTCTGGACTCGGCCATCGGATCCAAACCTGGGAGCAAATGCTGCTCTGTATAAGATAATTCATGCTCATTAGCCGGTAAATTCCCATACTCCCTGTAATACTGCTAGCTATTCAAGCAATGAAGCCCGCTCTATTCCACGATCAAGTGGATGTTCTCTGTACCACCACCGCTCTCAACTGCTCCTCTTGTTCATGTGGACGCGTGCCACTGCGCATGCACACGAATCAAATATCAACCAAATAGAAATGATATGTGCCCATCTCACCCATCGCCATCATGCGGTCGCAGCTACGTTCGAATCGGTCAAGGATTCGTCCAAAGGTCCGAATTTTGATGATCGAACTGTGGGACCCATGAGTTCTGGCCAATGGGTAGACATCCTTCGCTGTTTTATCGCTGGCCCGAGGCATGGATGCAAACCCCACCCTTCCCCACAGCCACATTAATGTCACAGCTTTTCTGTCGCTTCACGTGGTGGCCGCCTGTCACCGAAAACCGAGACACCGGCGCTCACACACCTCTATGAAATACCCTATTCGCCCCTATTGTTTCTCGACGGGTAAGTACGAAAGGTAAATTAAGATTAGGGAAGAAGTGTAATTTAGTCTTTAATTAATGCTCGCCGCTTTTCCTTCTTGCTTTTCTTAAACCTCACGTCAACGGAGATGATGGCGATCCTAAATAGAACCCCTCCGCTCCGAACCACCTCTCTCCCCCGACGCCGGTCGTGGATGCCCCGGAACGAGATTGTTCCGGTGGAGGAGGAGGGGGACGAGGGATGAACGATCTTTCCTTCGCCGTGGCTTCCGATCGACGGAGGTGGTTCGGCCCGGTCCCGGCCGCCGTGATTCGCGTCGTCGTCCCCCTGCTCCTCGCCGCCCTGGCCTTCGCCGTCTTCATCCTCGTCGTCGTCCACAACGCCGTCCTCCTCGTCTCCGTCCTCGTCCTCTCCGCCCTCATCCTCGCTTTCTTTCTCTGGAACGCCGCCGCCTACAGGAGGAAGTTGTCCCTCGACCTCTTCCTCGATCGCTTCCCCGACACCGATCTCCTCTCCGCCAAGGACAGCCAGCTCGTCAAGGTCACTGGGGTAGTGCCTCTTGATTGACGGTTGTTTGCCTTTCTTCGTTGAATCGCTTGCGATTTGGCCGGTTACGTTCCTCCTATCTCATTTCTTTCTGGCAAACGAATAATCTGTGGATGTGGATGGATTGGTTGTTTTCTCTTTTAGAGATCTTATGGAGATGTCCAACCTTCGCTATTTGGTCATCACTCGTTCGATCTATGGTTTGCGAAGCTTGGGATCATCTTCCGCGGAGACTAGAGATGTTATGAATGTGCTTCCAAGTTGTTGAAGCGCAACAACTTTCAGCATCGCTACCTGTTCTGTTTTGGCATCACAATGTGGAACATCATGTGTCCAACCTAAGGCATTTAAGCATCACTACAACCATTTTAGCCCATTTTGGGAATCCTTTTAGCTGTTGAATCAATTGGTGGAGCTTATTGACTTATTTACTTGCTCTTTAACCATCTTAGTTGCCATTAAAATACTTGATCCATTTTTTTTTAGGCCTGCTTGATATTTTTTTTTTCTTGATCAGAGCTGTAATCGCAGAGCTATTGGAATATTATTCATTTAGCTTGGGTTGGAACTAATTTAGCATCATTTTGTATTCATGAAAAATATTTTACATCGTCACAGCCTTGAACCACCTCATCTATTTTTGCTAGGGATTCTATTGGCTCAATCTTTGTTGTGATAATATTAGGTTGCAAATCAAAAGTATTGGCCTATGATTTTATGTTTGATATAAAAAATCATCTTTTCTTGTGGATCACTAATTACAGATTTCATTAGTTATTCCTCTCCACATTAGGATGTTTTGTTTATTTTATCAAACTGTGAAAGTCATAGTTACCTCTGATTGTTCTTTTTTTCTTTAATTGCCATAGTTTGCTTCATGTGGAGATCTTTCTCTTGAATCCTCATATGAGAAGGCTGGAAGATGTGTCTATACGTCAACCATCTTGTATGAATGTTGTGGATGCCACCCAAAGCAAGCCCATGTTAGCCATCAATGCTTCCAGTGGAATTTAGCTTTCGTGGAGGTACAACCTGTGTTCAGTAAATTTGATGAACTTGTGTTCCTCATCACATCTTCTCCTTCCATCTTTTATTTGCGAAAAGAGAATAAAATTGTCATGGTGTTTGTTAATAGAACTTAGTTTCTTTCATTTTATTTTTTTAAGATGATTTGATTGATAGAGATGAGCTGATAAGTTTTGTTCTTATTTCTTTGGAGGCATAGGGGAATATGACTAATTGGATTCCTTAATTTGAGTTACTGAAAAGTTCTTACTTTATAATTGTTTTGTAGTATTAGTGGCAACTGCATTGATAAATAGACGGGTATAACATAATAGCTTAATTAAATATTTAAGAGTCATTTCTCTGAAGGATGACTAGACATGTTTTAGTTGGATTTAGCACTTTCACGGTAGTCCCTTGATTTGTAATGAAAGATCTGCAGCTCTTTCTTTATCATTATATACCTGGCACTATTTGGCTTTTAGCTAAGTTAGTAGCTTTCAGGACTTGTTCTTCTCCTGTTTGTTTCCTTCATTACCATTTGATCCTTAGCTTTATTTAGTGTTATTGCTTGGAATGACCTAAACCCTCGGTGGCTCAGTTTCGCAGCCAAATCATCTACAAATGGCCATCATGAAGCTTTCTTTCTATTGTCTTTAGAAGATGGATGTATTAGAATAGTAGGCTAGTATAGTCTCTCAGTTGGTAGTTACAGATGCTTTCCAAACTTATCTAGTAAGGTGTTAGGGCTAAGTCACAAACTATATACATGTGCTTTGAGGTAAAGAACTTTAAATAGAGTTTCAATTCGTTCATTGATTTACATTGAAAGCAAATAATTTTCTTACGTATATGCTTCTCCAAATTTATCTAGCTATTGGGTGACTGATATGTTCTTTGAAGCTTCTGTTATAACTTATAACCAAAATTTTCTTGGCTAAAATAAGCTGAAGTTGACGGCTCTGTGTCAACTTTGAGGACCTACCAATCAGATTTCCTTAATTCTATAATAAAGAGCAACTTGTTGCCTGATTTGTTTATTGTATTATTTTCACTATTTACCAAGAAGGATTCTATTCGCTATAGGTATTTTCTATATAAAAGGAAACATCCAGGAATAATGTCTCAATTCATTCTCTGTTTCACATTAAAAAAATGTCTTACCTTTTATCATTTATGGAATTTATCTGTACTCTCTTTAAAGTAGAGAGTTATGAGAGATACTCCTTAGTTGCATGAAGTTCTTAAAGACCCCTGTTATGCCAAATTTATTATGGGCAGAATAAAGAAGTCCTGTAAAGTCTGTATTGACCATGTAACCTACGAATCAGATTTACTTAATCTATCAAGGAAAATGACCAGTCATCTGCCTTGTATATTATATTCTGTGTTCTTGTATTAAATTTGATAGAATCACAGTCATATGCTTTCAACTGTTTCTTTAAATCTCAAATTCATCATCGAGAAATTTGATTGAAGATATCTGAACACTAAATGACAGAAGTGGAGGCTTCTTATTTATAAGGCTTATCATGAATTTTTTTTTTTACATTTGAAAAATTCATCAAGTTGAAGCTTGATATCGTGTACAATTCATTGAATTTGCATTTCTTTGGCATCTTATATCCCTTTTTATCATCTTACTGCATCTTTTTCTAACTAATATCTAAATCATATTTTTCATGTCCGTATCCATGCAATGCTGGTGTTTAACTATCAGCCAAAAGCATCAAGAATCAGTTTATGCATAATTTCATTGATACATAAATGAGCTCATGCCAAGACTTTGAGGTGCCAAACTTGATTGATGAGCTAGGATTGTCTTCAAGCCCGCCTAGCATACTTCTTATGCTCCAGTATTATGTGCATTCTATGTTGCTGAACTGCAACTCTGTTTTAATGATGTGAATTGCAACTCTGCAGGTTTTGTCTCTTATAGATGTCCGAGCTTTTGTTTTGAGCACTGTTTTGGATAAATCTGAGAACTTAGTCATCAATCTTGACAGCTACGAGTTTATTTAACATTGAAAACTGAACTGTTAGTGCATGTATTTTCTATTCAGGTTACACTTGTCCATAAAACCATAAGATCATGGGTCCAATCCATTATTTACCTAGTTTGTAGAAGACAAAGAAATTAAGAATCTTTGACTATGCAACTCAATTGTTCATTCTGATGCACCCTCATAAACTCTTTATATCTCTTGACTACAACATAATCTTCCATCTGTGCTCATTGTTATCTTTGAAACTTTGGCAGAGGATGGCTACAGACTTTTACATAACAGATGTCAAATCTGGTCTAAGAGCTTTGGTGAAAGCTGGTCAGGGTTCCAAAGTGATTCCTCTGATTGAAGAAAACATTCTTGTGAACATCACAAGCCTAAATAGAGAATTATCTTCCACCTTGAAGAAATGGTTACAAGGAAGACGGCTTTCCTGCGAAGCGCGTCTACTACGTCTTGAGGAAGGGTATCTAAATTATTTTGCTGAAAGCATTGGTCTTTATTATTGTCATAGAGTTATGTTAGCACTTCGATTATTCAATTTTGCATAACGCAGGTATGTTATCGAGGGAACCTGTTTGACTGTGATGGGAATGTTGAGCAGAAAGAATGGTGTACTTGTGATTGTCCCACTACCTGAAACTATTTCTACAGACTGCCTTTTGCAAAAGTTTCTCCTTCCTGTTGACATTGATGGTCTGCTTTTGAAGACCGCCAACATGTCCACAGCTAACATCCGCCTTTCCTGAACCAAGAAAATTTCTGGTAATGTATCTGTAGTAGCAATTTTCAATGATGTCAGACTCCAGTCGCTTTGAGAATTATTAGTTGAAATTAAAATTTTGATTTGGACAAGTTTTCTTTGTCTTGCACCTAGCTTATTTCTGCTATTTGGTCTTTCTGAAAATTACTTATAAATCCTTCCTCCTGACATAATGCATCTTTAAATGTTAGGATAATTAAATTTGATGTGTTCCTTGGATATTGAATCAATGAACTTTTAGCTTTATTATCATAGTTGATAATGAATTAATTCCATGTACTTGAATACAGATTTTACATGATTAAGCTTCTTTTATGGAAAGTATTATTTGAGCCTTTTGCTTTCTCTGAAGAGTTTCCAGTATAAAATTCTTCTTGAACTACTACAGGGGTTTCAAGCAACTTCAGTCTTTGAACTTAATCATCAGAAATTTAGCTGCCTATTCCTGACAGAATTAGCTAGTAATATACATGGATGTTAGATCAACATTAGAAATTGGCTTGATTATGTCTCAGCCGGCATGGCTCAACACGTGTTGACCCATTCTGGCTGCAAGAAAACCTTGCTTCTTTTAAACCCTACTTTAACCATTGAAAAAAAAAATGTAATTTTGGCTTATTTTAATCGAATACCTAAAAACAAATCATTTAAGAGCAGTGAGCTGAAAGCCGAATAATTGATTTGATATCTTCAACCTAACGCAACCTAGTTGTAATGTGAAATTGGACTGGCATTGTCCACTACGGTGGCTGACAGCCCATTAATTGGACCAGGCCATCCCAGCGAGGGCCATAAGAATTCTCATTATGTTGTACTTTCATGTGGTTAGCCCTTGTATGGCAAACAAAATGCACTATGATTCTAAAGGTGAAGGATCCTTTTCCTTGCTAATGCTATTTCTTCGTCTGAATGGCCAGGTGCCTTTGCAACTTCTGCCATGGTGTGTGGGTTTACAGTATCAGTTTTTGGGGGGTTCCAAAATTTTGGTAATTATTATTGTGGATTTATGGTAAGATCACAAACAACTGATGTTTGCCTACGTTTAACCACAAGTAGTTTACCTGTACAGATGTGGAATGGTTTATTTTTTGTGATCCAGATATCATGTTTTAGGTGTCGTTATATACATCAGTGTTGAACCTGGGTATCCAGATCTTCCCCTTGATTTTTAATGACAAACATCTGCTTCTAACTTCGTACTGATTTGTTGTTAGGTTCAACATCAAGGTGCTTCTGGCGTTGTCGATCATGTGGCATTTACAATAGTGAATTTATTACCAGGATTTTTGCTCTCCATCTCAATCTACACTCGAGATTCTCAAGTGACGATGAAGTTTATGGTTTCTTCTTCGTTTAAGAAGAGTATCTTTTGTGAAACTCTTAACCCGTTTGTTGCGAGAAGAAACTGTGCCCGCCGAGCACCGTAGACGGGCACTGCAGTGGCAGACAGCGTGTTCTATTCGTCCAAATGTCCCCAGAAAAGCAACTCGTCAGCCACTTCATGCATCCATAAAACCTTCTTGCCTGCCTGTACGCCTACCGCCCTCATCATTGCGCTATCTTTGTCTCTTTTGTTTCCTCCTCCTTTCTCCCCCCTCTCACAGGGATCATTTTTACCTGAACGCTCTACATGATCATCTTCTCTCCGTTCTCCCGAGAATGCAGCAGGTGATCTTTCGGGCATCGTTCCACGTCGTCGCAGCACGACTCCTGCTGCTGTTGCTTCTCCAAGGGGATGACTGCTGGTGCTACCAGTACAAGGTTGGAGACCTTGACTACTGGGGGCTGCCCCCTCCGTCCGACCCCTTCCTCTACTCCTCCTGGTCTCAGAACCACCGCTTCCGCCTCGGTGACTCCCTTCGTAAGTAGTGTTTCAGCTGTATCATTGCTGTCGTTGTCTTCTTAACCTGCTTTAGACACCGTGTCGTGGTCTGCTGTGGCCAGTGTTCTTGTACCCGCCGAGCCAGGACTCGGTGATGCAGGTGACGGAGCGGGCGTTTAACAGCTGCAGCTTGACCGACCCCATACGGAAGCTGGACGACGGCAACTCCCTCTTTAACCTGACGACCCCGGGGAACTACTACTTCACCAGCGGCGCCCCCGGCCACTGCGAGAAGAACCAGAAGCTGGCGGTTGCCGTCCCCTCACTAAACAACGGGACCTTCTTCCCGCCCGCCGTAGACTTCGCCGTCCCGCCGGCAGGGTCGCAGTCCTACCTGACCGTCTTCGGCCCTGCTCCGGCTCAGGGACACAGCGGCAATCCGGCTGCGGCCGTCACGGCCATGGGATCCGTCGTCTCGGCCGCGCTGCTCCTCGGCGTGGCTTTCCCATGACGCCGACGGAAATGGAATGGCATTTTTGGAGTTATGCTCGGTAGAACCTTTTGTTTCTTTTTTCCTTTTTCTCTTTTATCTTCTTTATCTTTTGTCGTTGTGTTGCTAAATAGGACTTAGTTCGAGTAGCCGCTGGAGAGACTCATCATCATCGAATTATTAGCGTAATCCAACTGTCCTATGACGGTCTCGGAGAAATCGATTACACCACACAGAATTATGGTCTTAAGAGTGCACTACCTTTTATGACCAAGCCAATGAATGCCGCGGGCCGGAGACATGTGGCTTATGCCAATAATCCAACTGACTTGCCCGAAGCATGCAAAGTGTTCTTAACGACACTTTGCATATATATATATGTATGTATATATATATGTATGTATACATATATGCATATATATATATATACATATATATATATATATATATACATATATATATATATA